CTTCATCTCATTTACGCCGACGCCTCCTGCGCCTGCAACGATGTCTAACATAGGACGCAGGCCAAATGCCAGGTGCGATCCCACGTCTGGGCCTTTTAGGCAGGTGGTGGCTCTTGTGATCGAGCCCCCTGATGTCTCTCCGAGTGCGTCCGACCCCTCGTCAGGGCGCGTCGGCCCACGCGGACCAGATCGCTAGGCTTGCGCCCAGGGAGAGAGACAATCAGGGGGAGGCCGCGGATGCGGCCGCGTCGCCCTCGGGGATCTTGGGGGCCCCCTCGTCCAGAGCGCCCGACTCGAGGCCGAAGTCGGAAGAGGCTTGTGCGCCAAATTCCGTGCCAGGACACAGGGAGGCCAACGATGCTCAGAGGGCTATCAAGCGACGGCGCCTGGTTGGCAAGCAGCCGCCACCGAGAGCCGTAGTCGTTCAATCGGCAACGGTTTGCGAAGCATCACTTCCCAACCGCGACATCATCATCAGCAATGAGCGCACCAAGCATATTTCGCCAGGTACGTCTGCTGCACGTCGGAGACAGCTCTGGGCCCATCTTGCTAAGCTACTCCGACCTGGTCACCGCCAGGACGCTCACACTGAGCAGGGCAGGGAGTTTGTCAACGGAGCTTGGGATGTTATACACCTGGCTTGTCAACAACCGACGCAGATACTTGTGCTGTGATTACAGGCCTTTGCAGACGTGGTGATCAACTACGCCGACACTTTGGAACGGCAGGCAGCGAACCAACGCACAGCTAAGTTCAAGGCCTGGGCGAGGGACGCTATGGTCACGGGTCCAGCTCAGATCCATTCTATCACCAGGATTCAGCCTTGGGCTCATGCACAAGTTCAGCAGGGCAAGACTATCACCTCCAACCCTCAGGTGGTTGCCGACAGCCAAATGGACAGCTGGAAGAGCATATGGGAGGGATATACGATCGAAGATGACGCGTCACCAACTTCAGCTGCGGATGAGCAAAGAGATGACCTGGCTGACACTATTCGAAGACCCCCAGCTGCAGCACTGCCTGTACCTACAGTCGAACATGTCCGTCGAGCTGCACTTACTTTCAAGTGGAGGGCGGGACTCGGAGCGGATGCTATGCCGCCCAGGGCTATCCCCCTCTTGTCGGATGCTGTGATGGCCAACTGCAGTGCTTAATGTCCACATTATGCTGCTGGCCAAACCCCAGGGTGGTTTCAGGCCCATTGCACTGCTTCCAGCGATCTATCGCATCTATACTAAGATGAGGATTGATCACATCCGAGCATGAGTGGCGAATAATTCTAGACCTTAGTTTGCGTTGGGTTCGCAGAAGTGTACCTTAGATGTGGGCGCACGCACTATGGTCTATGCTGAAGCTTACTCGCAGCATGCCACCAAAGCAGTCACCACTACCCTCGTTGACATCAGTAAATGGTTTGACCGAATATGCTGGCGGAGGGTACTGCAGGCGGCAGAACACTTTCGCTTCCCCGCTCAGATACTACAGCTATCCCTGGCCATGTACTACGCGCCGCGGCGGATCAAATGGAATGCCACGTACTCGTACGCGTGCCAAGCCCACCGAGACGTGCTACCTGGATGTTCGGTGGCGATGTTTCTTCTGCAGCTGGTTATGATGCTGCCATCCGGAGTCTTTGAGAAGCCCTTTGAGGAGCAGGACGAAGTACATCACTCTCTGGACATCTATGCGGATGACATCACCATACAGGTAGTTGCCGCCATGCAGGACATTGTCTACCAGCCGGTCCGCATACCTCAGCGGCTCGCGGCAGTCCTGAAGGCCATCGGCCTCCCGACTGCGAAGAACAAGGCTAAAGTTCTGGCAAGTGATTACAGCATTGCCCAGCAGGTAGCCCATCAAGTGCACATGCATGGATTCAGACCCTACAAGACTCTCGAAGTTCTGGGAATGGATACCAGAGGCGGTAAGGCACTACGATATACATCTATTCGGATGCGCGTTGCCAAGATGCGACGTCGACTCCCCCGCTTTCGTCGTCTACGGGGCCTGGCCAAGATTGGACGGGCAGTGGCCCAACCTGCGATTGGCCCAGCTATGTATTATGGCGTGCAGATCGTCGGGGCTACAAAGGCGCTTCTGAAATCAATGGTCAACATGGTCCGCGTTGGTTGGCAGAGGACCCCCCCCCCCGGCACGTCGACATGGCTCGCGTCTCGGCTGGAACCTCGGGGCAATGAGCATCCTGAACTCCTGGCTACAGCGGGGCCTATCTACGCGTGGGCCCTATTGGTCACGGAAGACAAGGTCCCGAATGATGTGCTCGAGCAGGCTTCCCAGCAGCAACGGATCCCACTCGGACCTCGGCCCCGACATGCTGATATTGCAGGCCCAGCTGGAGCGGTCTTGGTGGCACTTAACCGTCTCAACTGGCGCGCTTACTCGGCCACAGCCTGGACTACGTGCACAGGAATACCATTGGATATCACTACGGACTCCCCTGAATGGGCCCGAACGCTGGCAAGGAGGGATTGTGTCAACGTTCGCTTCGAGGGATGGAGTCGTCAGAAAGATCACGCCCCTGACGGTCAGCCAGCGGATCGCAGGCCCTGTGGATACTCGATGGCACTTCTGAAGCTCCTCCTTGCTCCCAAGCAGCTGGCCAAGAAGTGGCACATTGGAGATCAGTCCCGCGCGGCGCTGCGTAGCACGATCATTGGCGGCCAGTGGTCTCAAGCTCGGCTTAACCAGTACGGATACGCTTCAGATGGCGTGTGTCAGTATTGCTTGGACTGCCCAGGTACGTTGCATCATCGCCTGTGGTGTTGTCCCATGTTGCAGCAGGAGCGTGAGGAGGCAGTGGACTCAGAAGTGATCCAGGCAGCGCGGGCGGCTCCACAGTCTGACCTCATGTTCACGCGCGCGCTCATGCCTCGCGACGCTCTTCCACGTATTTCTGCACCGAGCATGGGCGATATCTGGAGTTTTGCACACGGTGGTGACACGGCGGCTCTCACTGGCGACATCTACACGGACGGCTCAGGGCTGGCCCCCATTTGTTGGCCAGAAGCCAATAGAGCGGGTTGGGGCATAGCAGTGATGACAGGCCAGACCATGAGAGGCATTGCATACGGACTTTTGCCAGGACATCACCAGTCAGTACCACGTGCGGAGCTCTATGCAGTTACCCAGGCATTGAGACATGGCACGGCACCGATGCACATACGTACGGACTGCCTTGGCATCGTTGAGGGACTCCAGCATGGGCGAGAATGGTGCATCCACTCAAGCAGGCCCAACAACGACATATGGAAGCTGCTGTGGCACGCCCTTGACGACCATGGTGGCTTATCATCGCAGATTCAGGTTTCATTTGTTCGCTCTCACCAGACGGAGGCCGAGGGCACAAACGACAAGAAGGGCAATGACTACGCGGACGAGGCAGCCAAGAGAGGTCTGGCAATGCATGCCCTGCCCAAGGAGGTCATAGGCCTCCATGCCCACATGCTCAACATAGTCAGGCAGGTGGCATGCTGGATTGGTAACTCCTATGACACTTGCTGACGGACGTGATCGGCAGCCATCGCCTGTTCGACGCCCGCGTCGTAAGCACCTCCGTCCCCTGCGTCCTGGCCCTCGTCCGCTTCCTCTGCGCGTGAAGGGCCAGCGCCTGCATGACCCTCGCCCAGGGCAGGCAGGGGGTTGGAAATGTAAGTTTTGTCAGCGCTACGCGCGGACCTCAGCTGGACGCAAGGCCATGGCTCGTGAAGTTTGCATGGTTGCCCCCCCCCCCCCTCCCCCAGAACCTCACAAGCCCCGACCCCAGCCCGAAGCTGAGAGCCCACCCGCTGCGCCCTCCCAGGATGCCCCCCCCCCCCCCCCCCCCCCCCTAGCCTCAAGAGGAGCCTGGAGGGCGACAACTCCGTGGAGGAGGGTGTGGAGGAGGATCCTGAATTGAAGGTGCGTCGTTGGGAGGCCTCTGCTTCCTCCCCCTCCTCCTCCTCTCACCGTGACCCCCTCCCCTCCCCGTCTCCTCCCTCGCGGGCTGGGGGTAACGCTTGGTGGCCTGAGGAGGAAGGGGAGGAGCCTTTTATCAGACCTGACCGCCGAGTCAGACCCAGGGTCCAATTTGAGCCTCGAGTTGTCACCCGCGTGCGTGAGGCGGCGTCGGCGATCGGACAAGGTTCGGAGAAGCGCCCCAGACTTGCTGCGGCCACCACGCGGGCCAACGCCACCCCTCCCAGCAGTGCCCTCCCTGTGGATGGGATTATCCCTCCATCGGCGGCTCGAGGCCACGTCTTATATCGTGCTGGCGAAGTGGTGGGCTGTATGAAGTGCGGACCCTTTTCTGAGCGATCACACAGGTCGCAGTTGTACACTGCGTGTGAAGGGCCCAAAGCTTTCGAAGGCAACCCGCAGCGAAAGTGGCGCCGAGATAACTTCGCCTCTGGTCGCCATCCTCGAGATGGCCGAAAGCATCCGCTGCCGCTACCGAGGAGAATGCTCGTCTCCGATCCAGCAGTGCAGTTGCTTGGCCTCAGGCCTTAATCCATATTCAACTTGTTTGTCTTTTGCCGGGGGCTGGTGTTCTGATCGCCCCCGTCCTTGCTGCCACCCCAGGCCTTCCCTGGGTGGCCACACTCGTCCTATCATTATAAGATCGGTGTGGGGGGATATGTTTCGTAATCGTGCATGTTCTCTATTATGTCTGTGAGAGATTGTGCTTTTCTCACATCTTCCCTTCTGTCTGCCCCGTCCTGCACCCTGACTCGGCGCGTCTCCTTCATGTGCTCGCTGCTCCGCCTCCTCCTCCCCCTCCTCCTCCTCCTCCTCCTCCTCCTCCTCCTCCTCCTCCTCTTCCTCATCCTCCTCCTCCTCCTCCTCCCTCCTCCTCCTCCTCCTCCTCCTCCTCCTCCTCTTCCTCCTCCTCCTCCTCCTCCTCCTCCTCCTCCTCCTCCTCCTCCCTTTCTTCCTTCTCCTCCATAGTTATCCCCCTCCTCTCTGCATCCGTCGTCCCCCTCATCCCCCCTCCCCCGTCCCAGGCTCTGGGCCTGCACGACCTTCAGGCGCAGCTGGAGGCCGTGGCCGATGCAGCGGCCAGAGAAGGGGCCTTCTTGCTCCTACTTTCTACCCCTGCCTCCCCCATCCGTTATCCTGGCGGTTCCTGTCTCATCCTTTTCCTCCTCCTCTCGCCGCCGCCGCCGCCAGAAGGAGAGGGAGGATGCCCCTCCAAAGCTTTCACCCCGGGGATCGACGGCCCACGCCAGTGCGCTCGAGGTCCCCGAGGGGAGAGGGGAGGGGGGATCGGGGCGAGGGGCCGGGGAGGGCGCGGCGGGCGCCGCAGTGCTCGGGCAGGGGGGGATGGGAAGGCAGGCCAGGTGCGTTCTCGCCATGTCTGACAGCCCCTTCCACACCTCCCTTCTCCTTGCGCCAGTTGCTTCTCTGTCCGCCGACGGGTGTTGTAGCAGACCTGGAACTCCCCTGAAAGGACACCCTCTTGAGATGCGCAATCAGAACTGGAGAGCTGTGTACACGAGAGGAAGAGGTGGCGGATGAGGTAGATGATGAGCAGGAGCAGGAGGAGGAGGAGGGAAGCAGGAGGAGGAGGAGGAGGAGGAGAAGGAGGAGGAGGAGGAGGAGGGGGAACGGCAGCGGCAGGAGCAGGAGGAAAGCGGGAGGAGCAGGAGGACGATGGGCAGACAGACGATAGGAAGGGAGAAAGGACTCGGATCCAGAAAAGTGGCCCGCGCTGGGGCGAGAGTGCCACTCTGAACGATGAGAACAAAGCGCCGATCCTACAATGAGGCCAACGCTGCAGCCTGAGAACCATTATGGAAGGACCGAGAACGTTCGGATTGGAAGGAAAACACATCCTACCAATCCTGTGTGTAAAATCATATGCGGAGGGAGTGCGCCACTCCGAGGACGTCTCCAGGAGAGACAGGAAAGTAGTACTCGTATTGCGCACTGCTGGGTAACAGTGGAGGGGGGGCAAAGAAGGGTGGGTGGAGGAGAAGGGTGGGGGGAAGAAGCAGGGGCAGCCCAAGTCTCCGAGCGGCCCCAACGCCGCAGCCCACGTGGCATGCAATTCGCCGGCGCCGCGCCTTCGGCGTTCGTCCCAGTCTGCCGAGGGAAGCCCGCGCCGGTGCAGGGAGTTCAGCGGCGGCGGCATGCGGGCGATGTAAGACAAGGGGAAGCGGAGAGGCGATGCGGAGAGGAAGACGGAAGGATGAACGGAAGATGCAGGATCGGGGTGCCGAGGGAGAGGGGTAGGGGTATGGGGAGGGTGGGCAGGAAAGTCGGGGGACAGGAGACAGGAGGCAAAGGACCAGAGACCGGACCAAAGACGAAGTCTCTATTCTGAGCGTTGGCTTCGGAAGACTTGGGAGGAAAGGAAGGCCGCCTTTACTCCAGCCTTTCCCTCTGTCCTTCCTCCGTTCCTCCCTCCCCCTCCTCCCCCTCCGCTCCCTCTCTCCGCCCTCCTAGCCTATCCACCTCCTCCCTCTGCCACCCCCAGACCTCCAGTCGCGCCACCGTCAGCGCTGGCTCGCAGCTGGCCCGCCAGGCGGAGCGCGACGCCGCCAGTGCGAAGGCCGAGCAGCTGGCCAGCGACAAGGACGAGCTGCTCAAGGCCCGCCACCCCCACCCCCCCACGAGCAGGCCGGAGCGTCGAGGAGGCTGCGTCAGGTCGGGCGGGTGCGCCCCGCGTCTGCCGCGGCGCGTGGACTGGCGCGACGGCCAGCGCGCAGAGGGGCATCTCCCTCCTCCTCCTCCTCCTCCTCCTCCTCCTCCTCCTCGTCCTCCTCCTCCTCGTCCTCCTCCTCCTCCTCCTCATCCTCCTCCTCCCTCCTCCTCCTCCTCCTCCTCCTCCTCCTCCTCCTCCTCCTCCTCCTCCTCCTCCTCCTCCTCCTCCTCCTCCTCCTCCTCCTCCGCGTCGGGCGCTCCAGGCGATTCCGATCCGAAAGCGAGGCGCCTCTGCCGACTCCGATTCCAGTCCGATGTCCGATCCGATGCGCGGCTGCCCATACCGTGGGGGCGTTCGTCAAGGGATGTGCCCAGGAAGTGTCAGACCACGGAGGGTTCTGCATCTGATGAGGGCGGCAGCGACATCCATGGCCACGCCTCCATTGGCGTTCCTCTGGCTTTCAGGCCCTGGCTTCCTTATCCAATAGTTCCTTCTCGGATGCCCTCACCGTATCAATGCCAGCTGCGATCCGACGTCCGATCCGATGCTCGGATGCCGATGTGGAAAGCGGGCGGCGTTTTGTCTTGAGGTGGGTCAGGCCCTGAAGGCCAGGCCCGCAAACAGCCGGCGGGCCAGGGACACCACGGCCTTGGGAGGAGGAGAAGGAGGAGGAGGAGGAGGAGAAGCACAGCTCCTCCTCCTCCTCCTCCTCCTCCTCCTCCTCCTCCTCCTCCTCCTCCTCCTCCTCCTCCTCCTCCTCCTCTCCTCCTCCTCCTCCTCCTCCTCCTCCTCCTCCTCCTCCTCCTCCTCCCTCCTCCTCCTCCTCCCTCCTCCTCCTCCTCCTCCTCCTCCTCCTCCTCCTCCTCCTCCTCCCTCCTCCTCCTCCTCCTCCTCCTCCTCCTCCTCCTCCTCCTCCTCCTCCCTCTCCTCGATCTGTCTGCGTTTGCCTTTTTACATCTACCCACACGTAAATACACTTGCGCCGCCAGTGTCCCCTGCAGCGGTGCTCCGAAGCTCACCTGGCCCTGGTTTGATCAACCCCCAAGGGCCGACCGGCCCTGGGGGTGGAGGGGGGCTACGAACGAGATTCTTTTCAGCCATCAGGAATGAGGAGCAGGAGAAGGAGGAGGAGGAGGAGGAGGAGGGAGGAGGAGGAGGAGGAGGAGGGGCAGGAGGAGGAGGAGGAGGAGGGGCAGGAGGAGGAGGAGAAGGAGGAGGAGGAGGAGGAGGAGGAGGAGGAGGAGGGAGGAGGAGGAGGAGCACAGCAAAAACGCTCAAGGCGTTGAAGCAAAAACCACAGATCCAGGTCAGGGGGAGCCTCTTTGTGGCCGAGGCCTGCCGGGGCCAGAAGAAGCCCCCTTGTTCCTCCTTCGGCGCGTGTGGCAGCACGACATGACTGGACCCATTGGTCGTTGAAAGTAGGTATTTTTGGATTCCCAGTTCCCAATCGACGATCGCCGCCTTCCTGCTTCAAGTGTCGAGTGGTTTTCCCTCTTCCCTCCTCGTCAGGAGGCTGGCGGAAACCAACTCCAACACACGGGCACCAACACCAACCTCCTCCTCCAGACGTTGGAGGCCGCGAATTGGGCACCAACACCAACACACGGGCATGCCTCAACCGGGAAAGACGATCCTACAGTCCAGTGTCGGTGGCAACATTTCGGCCACCTAGGACGCCAAAACATGACCACCATCACCGAGATCGGGAGCACCTTCCCTCGGTGGAGGCACGCCGCCGACATTGGCGTTGGTGTCAACCTCTAGGCTTAAGTCGGGCCTGTCTCTCTACAGGGGGAAAGTTCAAAAACAGTCAAAAAATAATATGGGGAGGATTTTATTACTATATTTGACAATGTTGGAGCATTTTTTTACTATTTTTCATTTTTCGTCCAGAACCCCCCTGTAGGAGGACACGCCCGACCTAACTCTAGGCCTCCCAGGGCGCCCCCCTTCGCGAAGCGACGGCGCGCACCCTCGCAGCGCTGGCCTTTGCCGGCTGTTTCTTTGCTCGGGAGCCTTGAGACGGGGGTCCATGCCAACGGGGGTCAGCCAGAGCGCCAGATCTTGCAGGATCCTGCAGGGACAGGGTCGCAGTGGCCCGGGTTTGGGCGCAGGATCCTGCAGGATCTTGCAGTATCCTTCGCATTGGCCCGGGCTTCAAGGTGCAGGATCGTGCAGGGTCCTGCAAGGCCTGACTGACCCGGGTCTGGATTGACCTAGGTCAGAAGATCCCCGATCTTTGCGTGCTCACCGAGTGGCGCTGCAGTCAAGACGCTGAAGTACGCAGAGGATGCTTGAGCAATTCGGCAGGGGTTCGCTGTCCCTCAGGTTCGGGACCAAAGCGAGGCCTCGTCCCTTTACGGAGCGCTCCTTCTGGTAGCACGAGGGTTGCACGGGAGCACCCCAAAGCACGTCAGCGCGGGCCGGAATTTACGTCGACTTCCGCGGTATTGGGGATGTTGTTGTCGGCGTTTTGATGAAGCGCGCCTCGGACAGTCGGCGGCGAGCGAGGGGAGAAGTGAGGAGGAGAAGGCATTCTCAGAAGGTTCGGAAGTCCCCAGGCCTTCTGGAAAGTTTTCTAAGCCGTCCCCGAAGACAAAAAAAAACTTCTCAGAAGGCGCGAGGGCTTCTGAGAAGCCCCGCCGCCTTCTGAGAAGGCCTTCGCGTCCGACTCCACGGTGGTATATACTCCTTCGGCCATAGGGGCAGCCTCCTCTTATGAGGTCCGCATGGCGGCCCTTGTGGAGAGAACTCGTGATAAGGAGGCCCCGCGCAGAGGCACGTAACTTTAAGTCGGGCCTGTCCCTCTATACAGGAGGACTATTCAAAAATAGTCCAGAAATAGTATGAGGACTATTGTTCTACTATGTTTGACTATGCCTGAGTATTGTTTGACTATTTTTCATTGTTCCTCCAAAATCCGCCTGTGGGAGGACATGCCCGACCTCAAAGTAAATTGAGCCTGAGCTCGTAAGTTAGTGCTGTGCACTCTCCCCGTCAGGGTACTCCGCTCCGTTCCGTTCTCGCTTCCCCCCTCCCCCTTCTCCTCCTCTTCCTCCTCCTCCTCCTCCTCCTCCTCCTCCCCCTCCTCCTCCCCCTCCTCCTCCCCCTCCTCCTGCTCCTCCCCCTCCTCCTCCTCCTCGTCCTCCTCCTCCTCCTCCTCCTCCTCCTCCTCTTCCTCCTCCTCTCCTCCTCCTCCGTTTTCCCCCCCTCGTTCGCCGCCAAGCCAGCTCCGGGCCCCCCGCCGGGGAGGCCTGGAGCTCTCTCGTGTTCCCCGCTCTCGCAGTGTAAACACCCCGCAGGCATCGAGAGCTGTTTAATGCCGCGCGACCGCGCGCGCACGGCAGCGAGGAGGAGGAGGAGGAGGAGGAGGAGAAGGAGGAGGACGAAAAGGAGGAGGAGGAGGAGGAGGAGGAGACGGAGGCGGAGGCGGAGGAGGAGGAGGGGGGGTAGGGGAGGAGAGGAGGAGGAAGAAGAGGAGGAGGAGCAGGAGGAGGAGCAAGGGGAGGAGGAGCAGGAGGAGGAGGACGAGGAGGACGAGGAAGACGAGGACGAGGACGAGGAGGAGGAGGACGAAAAGGAGGAGGAGGAGGAGGAGGAGGAGGAGTAAGAGAAGGAGTACGAGGACGAGGACGAGGGGGAGGAGGAGGAGAAGGTGGAGGAGGGGGAGGATGAGGAGTAGGAGGAGGAGGAGGAGGAGGAGGAGGAGGAGGAGGAGGAGGAGGAGGAGAAAGAGGAGGAGAAAGATGAGGAGGAAGCAGAAGAGCCAGGTCCTCTGCTTTTATCTCCTGCATCGAGCGACAAGGTACATTTTCGCGGGCTGCCCAAGGTGCCCCTGGCCCAAGGTGCCCCCCAGCTTGGCGCTCGAGTTTGGAGCCCCCTTGAACCCTCTGGACCTCGTGAGGGGTGCTCTGGAGGCCGTGGGGGCCTCGTTGGATATCCTGGGGCCCCCTTGGGCCAGGGGAACTTCTAGCAACACCCGAGAATGACACAGCGGCGATGAGCGTCAAACTGTCAGAGGGCGGGCCCTCCCTGTCTGGTTCCCTACTCCTCTTCCCCGTTCCCAGTCCATTTTGCGTCTTTCTCCTCGCTCTCATGGGCGCAGGAGCGGGCGCGTCGGATGGCAGACTCGGCTGCAGCGCGTAGTCGTGCTCATCCAGACGGCAAAATCGCTGCGCTTTCTTTCTGAACGGGAAGGGGGATTGAATGTCCTCCCTGCGTCTTTCTTTACAGCCCTCTCTCCCTCTCCTCTCCCTCCCTCTTCCACATCCCCCCCCCCTCCCTCCCTCCGATCCCTCCCTCCCCTCTCCCCCCAAACCCTCCTGCAAGGGCCGCGAGGACCTGGCCCGAAGTGGCAGAGGCTCGTAACCCGGGCCGACGAGGCCCCCCAGCGGCTGCGGCCGCCTGCGACGACAGGGCGCGACGCGAGACTCTGAGCCCTGCGCCGACCGCCTGGCGCCCCGGCGCACGGAGGGCCGGCTGCAGCCGGAGGGGGGAGGTTCAAAGACCTGCCCTCGGGAACGCACAGGGGCATCACGTCCTTTGAGCGGCGCGCTCCAGGCCATGAGCTTGACGCCTTTCCTTTCAGCTGTTGTCAGTGTAGTTTGCAGGGGATGCGCGCCTATATGTCTCCTCCCCTCCCAAGTTTTGAGGGAATTGTGCAGGGCCGTTTCAGGGTCAGTTTATATAGTATCATGCATCCGCCATTTGAACTCGGGTGCCAAAGGCACGCGCGCTTTATATGACCGGGCACTGTGTTCGCTATCTGTTGGAATTATATTTATATATATATATATGAGTTTGCATATATACATATATATATAACTTTTAATATTTTAAACAAAAAAAAAATGGGGGCGAGGGGAGGGAGCGCAGAACTCCGGCCCCTGGGAACATCCGAGGTCCAAGGGGGAGCCCCCGATGAGCCAGCCACTCGGGGGCCCCGCCGGCGCCTCCCTGAGGCGGAGCAGCCGCACCAGAGTCAGGGCGGCGACGAGGCCAGGAGGTGGAGGAAGCTGCGAAGGAAGGCGGCATCGTGTCGGTCGGGCGCCTGCGAGCGCATCCTGCTGGCGAGCAGGTGCGATCAGGAGCGTCTGCTTAGCCTGTCGCGCCGCTGGTTCTGGCCCACCACGCCTCGCTGTGACACGTCAACAGGGGAACGAACAATGACATAAACAGAGAAACTCGGAGGTCCGCGTGGATTTCTCGGATCGGCGCTGGACCCCCTGGCGCGCGGAGCGCGCCAGGGGCGGCGCCGGAGGCGCCGCCAGGGGGTTCCAGCGCCGATCCAACACATCCGCGCGGACCTCCGAGTTTTCATGTTTATGTCATTGTTCGTTCCCCCGGTCAAGCACGCCCCAGTCCCCGAGCATCGACGGCCCCAGCTTCTCCCCGCTTCCCGTCCCACGAAGCAGAGCGACACGCCATCAGCCTGCAGGGCACAGCGAGGGCCGCCGCCGCGGCACGCGGAGCGAGAGTTCGTCACCGCAGGGTGGCCACATCGCGGCTGCCAGGAATCTCAGCTCTCCCTCCCAGGCTCTTAGCATCGCTCGGACGTGTGCATTTTTCTCAGCGAGGATCATCGAAGAGCATTCTGGATCATTGAGGCGAAGAAGAAGGAGAAGAAGAAGAGGAAGAAGAAGGAGAAGACAGCAACAACAACAACAACAATAAGAACAAGAACAACAACAACAACAACAACAACAACAACAACAACAACAACAACAACAACAACAACAACAACAACGACAACAACAACGACAACAACAACAACAAGAACGCACGAAACCGAAAAATGCAAGGGGGATGCACGTCCTAGCGATGGCAGGGGTTAAGCCGAGGCCGCCCCACCCCCCAGCGGTAGCGGTGCGCGTAACGCCAGCCTCGGGGGGCGGAGCCCTTCGGAAACCGGGCCGTACGCCGCGCCGCCACTGGGGGGGTCTCTGTGGCTGCGGAGCCGTCCGCCTCCTGAGAGCCGCGGGCGCCATCCCTCCTGCCTCTTCCCCCCTTCCCTTCTCTGGGCCAGCCAGCCTGCACTCCCCTCTCACCTTCTCGTCCCTCCTCCTCCTCCTCCCGCGCCTCCTCCTCCTCTTCCTCCTCCTAAAATACAAATCATCATCATCATCATCATCATCATCATCATCATCATCATCATCATCATCATCATCATCATCATCACCATCACCATCACCATCATCATCATCATCATCATCATCATCACCACCACCAGCGGCATTATCATTATCATTATCATAATAATCATCAGGATCATCCTCATCATCGTCATGAGCATCGTCGTCATCATCCGAGTATCATCATCAGCATCATCATCATGCTCTCCTCCGCGGGACTGGCCCCAGCGAGGCACGGGCGAAGTTGGAGTCAGAGTTGCGGGAGGCGCGGTCCGAGCTCCAGGACGGCCGAGTTGCTCATCTTCCTCTCTCATCTTTTCCTCCACCTCCGACTCCTGCTATTATTACTCCTACTATCACTATCACTATCACTACTACTACTACTACTACTACTACTACTACTACTACTACTACTACTACTACTATTACTACGACTACTACTACTACTACTACTACTACTACTACTACTACTCTCTTCAAGTACTCTTACTACTACACTAACTACACTACTACTACTCTTTCTCACTAAAACTCACTACCTAACTACTACACTACTACTACTACTACTATTACTAACTACTACGTGAACTACTACTCAGTACTACTATACTACTAACTAACTACTACTCCGACTACTATTACTACTATACTGCTACTACTCCTTACTCCTACAAACGACTCCTACACGACTACTACTACTACTAACTACTACTACTACTATACTAGACTACTACTCACTACGACTACTACTCTACTACTGCTACCACTACTACTACTACTACTACTACTACCACTACTACTACCACTACTACGATGACTAGTATTCTTATTACTACTACTACTACTACTACTACTACTACTACTACTACTACTACTACTACTACTACTACTACTACTACTACTACTACTTACTACTTATTGCTTACTACTACTTACTACTACTACTACTACTACTACTGACTACTACTACTACTACACTACTACTACTACTACTACTACTACCACTACTAACTACTACTACTACTGCTACTACTACTACTACCACCACTACTACTACTACTACTACTACTACTACTACTACTACTACTACTACTACTACTACTACTACTACTACTAGTACTGCTACTGCTACTGCTACTACGACTACTGCTACTACTACTTCTACTACTAGTACTCGTACTACAAGTACTACTACTGCTACTACTACTACTACTACTACTACTACTACTACTACTACTACTACTACTACTACTACTACTACTACTACTACTACTACTACTACTACTCCGTCTGCTACTACTACTACTGATACTAGTACTACTATAACTACTACTACTACTACTACTACTACTACTACTACTACTACTACTGCTACTACTACTACTACTACTACTACATTACTACTACTACTACTACTACTACTACTACTACTACTACTACTACTACTACTACTACTACTATTCTTACTACTACTACTACTACTACTACGACTACTACTACTACTACTACTACTACTACTACTACTACTACTACTACTATTCCTATCCTTATTCCTTATTCGAATATACTCCTACTCCCCCCTCAGGCCGGCAGATGGGGGCCGCATCCGGGTGGTCCCATCCTAACCTGTAAAAAACAATACAAAATCAATATTTTTCTTATTTTTTCCTCTCGACATGGACGTCCTGTCGTCCACGGCGATAATCCATTGCAAAAATACAACAAAGAGCACACGCGCGCGTTCATGTCAGAATCCTACCGAACACCGTGTGTTTGCAAGCATTTCAACATAAAAACATCAAAAACCCAATGCTTTTTTTTCACAAAAATTCTACACATTTCCTGCCCGGGCTCTCTTGCTGAAATCATAGGAAAACCATAGGAATCTTAAGAATTCGGTCAAATCCAACGATTTCACGTCATCGCGCGGTGCACTCGCGATGCTCTGTCATGCACCCAGGCCGCGAATCCTGTGCAAAAAATGCCACGCGGGCGACATGCGCGCACGTCGCCGCGAGCGCATGCTCAAATCCTTCTAGAGTCGTCGCCGTCATTGGCACCGTCGCATGGACGTCCTGTCGTCCACGTCGCAAAATGCATGGCAGGAACGGGACGCGGCGCACACCCCGCGCCCGCCCATCCAATCCGTCCCATTCTAATCTGCAAAAGACAATACACAGTTCGTCTGGCAATGCGTGCGCGGCATTCAACACGCGCTCGCCAGTTCCCGTCGGCAACCGCCATCGCGGCCGCATCAGCTGTACCAAACCGGCTGGCCGGTGTGACTTCGGCCCCCATTTGTGCCAGCTTTGCTTCTTATGTTGTGGGAGG